CCTTTTGTTTATTTAATAGGTCAATGTAATTCTTGCTCAAAACATAAATGGGTGGGTGCAGTGGCTCACACCTTTAATCCCAGTACTTTGGAAGGCCAAGATGAGAGGACTACTTGAACCTAGGAGTTCAAGACCAACCTGGGCAACAGAGTGAGACCCCGTCTCTACAAAAAAGAAATTAAAAAGCCCCACAAAAACAAACAAACAAACAAACATAAAAACCAGTTTACACCAAAGTCCTTAGAATACACACTAGATTACTCTCTACTTTAAGACACACTAAGCACGGACAATCACGCTGCAAGTGGCCTGGTGGAAACACGCATCAGGAAAGCTCATTTCACACCTACACAGCACTCCATGGCCCCTGTCCACAACTGCTTTCACACAAATCATCACATTACTGTGTGCAGTTGAGGAGACTAAAATATTAAATCAAATACTTTTATCCAAGGTTTTAGGGTGGCAGAACTGGTACTGCTCATTTCATTAACCCAAAACTACTTTCTTTAAGTTTTTAATTACTATATGTCCTTTTACAAGTTATGATCCCTAGTGGCAATTGGTGGACTTCACACTGGAGAAGCAGCAAGATGAGAATGCCTGCCTCACTCAAGAGCAGAACAGATGGGTGTGTGCCCAGGCCCGCTCCAGACTATCCCCATCTGCCCATCCATGAAGAGCAATGCCACTATCACCCCCAAGCTGAAATTCCCCTTGCCTCCAAGCTGGTGAGAGGATGTGGAAGCGGCACTCTGGAGAGGAGGGCAGGCTCTGGGTCCTGGAGCCACGACTATCTCCCATCCCTGACCCTCAGCTCTAAGTAGGGAAATAAGGCACTCTACTCATTCTCTCCATAGTGAGCAAACTCTAACCCTTAGCTGAACCTTTGGGAAGCAGAGGATTATTTAAAACTCCAGAGTGGGTGAGTGATACTTCCCTGAGCTGCTAGCATAGTTCAAGTCTCACCAATACCAGTCTTGTCAGAAACTGCTGTCTTGACACCAGCACTATCCACTTTAGACATAATAGCTCCGGGGCACCAAGACAGCAGGAGGTAAGTGACAATCCAACTTTGGGAAGAAGTGGAGGATTTCATATAGCTAGGCTGAGGAACTAAGCTGAAAAGATGGTCAAAGCAGGTGACATGCCCTTAGCCTGGCACGGACTACAGGCAGAACCAGACCTATTCCAACAAACTCATGGAGTGGCACAGAAGACAAGACAGACATCCCACCATGTTGCGACCACGTTCTTACCTGTGATGTTCACTCTATCCCCAGGTTGAACCTTGTCAACAAGATCATTGTGAGCAAAGAGAACCACAGTGTGAGGAGTCTGCCCTGCAGGCATGTCCTCAGGAGACTCTTGAAGTTTTATCTGAAAGAAGAACAGAGAAAGCCTGGGACACAGCACAGCAGAGGGCCATCTGCATGTATTGGCACTGCTTGGCAATTGCCCTACTTAATTACTAACAGCTTCAATCCTTTTAGAAAAAGAGTTATCCTTTTGAGATAGGGTCTCACTCTGTGGCCCAGGCTAGAGTACTGTCATGGTATCATAGCTCACAGCATCCTCAAACTCCTGGGCTCAAGGGGGTCCCTCCTGCCTCAGCCTCCTGAGTAGCTGGGACTACAGATGTAAGCCATGATACCCAGGTAGTTTTTCTATTTTTTGTAGATAGTGTCTTGCTCTTATTTAGGCTGGTCTCCAATCTCTTGGCTTCAAATGATCTTCCTGCCTCAGCCTAAAAAAATCTACTTTTAAGGTGACATGGACATTTTATAAGGATGTTATTTAACATTCCTGTCTCTGAGGGTGGGAGGTGATTTATGTGATTCTGGTTTCGGCCATCTAAGACCGTAATGTATCTCTTCATACAAATGGCCCCATTTCTAATCACTGCCTTGAAAATCACTTCTAGATTTCTCAGGTGCTACACATCTTTTTTTTTTTTTGAGACAGAGCCTCAAGCTGTCTCCCTGGGTAAAGTGCTGTGGCATCGCAGCTCACAGCAACCTCCAACTCCTGGGCTCAAGCGAGCCTCCTGCCTCAGCCTCCCAAGTAGCTGGGACCACAGGCATCTGCCAGAACGCCTGGCTATTTTTTGGTTGCAGCCATCATTATTGCTTGGTGAGCCCGGGCTGGATTCGAACCTGCCACCTTAGGTGTATGTGGCTGGCACCTTAGCCACTTGAGCCACAGGCGCCGAGCCCTGCACATCTTTAAGGTTTGCTGTCAGAGACTTCCGTGCACCTCATAAATACCTGTGCCCCTGCTGCATGCTGGACCCTGTTTGAGGTGTTGGGGACTCCATAGTGGACAGAGCTCCCTCCCTCCCCATGGAGTGTGGACACAGATAGGACACAGCAGTGAGCAGTAAGACCTGACAGTGACAAATGCACCAGACAGAAATAAAGCAGGTTTTGGAGTTTGGGAACATGTGGCAGAAAGTGGAGGAGACACTGTCCATAAAGCAAGGTCAGGAAAGGCCTTTTTTTTTTTTTTTGAGACAGTCTCACTTTGTCCCATGGTAGAGTACCATACAGTTATCAAAGCTCGCAGCAACCTCAAACACCTGGGCTCAAGTAACCCTCTTGCCTCAGCCTCCTGAATAGCTGGCACTATAGGTGCCTGCCACAGTGCCTGGCTGGTTAGGAAAGGCCTTTTATACCAAGTGGCCTCTTACTGAAGTCCAAAGATGCTGGAGCTTTATCTTAAGCCAATTTGAGAGTCTGAGGATTTTGAGAAAACTGGATACCAACTCCTGGGGGGCAGGCCTCTGCTTTTCTACTTTCAGCTCTTAGCACTGCTTAATGTTCTATGTAGATTAAAGAAATTGTGGGCAGCGCCTGTGGCTCAGTGTGTAGGATGCTGGCCCCATATGCAGAGGGTGGCAGGTTCAAACCTGGCCCTGGCCAAATGGGCGCCTGTAGTCCTAGCTATTCGGGAGGCTGAGGCTAGAGAATCACCTAAGCCCAGGAGTTGGAGGTTGCTGTGAGGTGCATGACACCACAGCATTCTACCAAGGGCAATAAGTGAGACTGTCTCTACCAAAAAAAAAAAAAAAAAAAAGAAAGAAAAGAAAAAGAAATTGCTAAGAACTTTGTAACACAACAAACTTAAATCCTGGGCCAGAAGTGATGGCTTATACCTATAATCCTAAAACTTTGGGAGGCCAAGGCAGGAAGATCATTGCTTGAGGCCAGGAGTTAGAAGTCTAGCCTAGGCAACAAAGGACTTTCTCTTAAAACAAACAAACAGGCTCGGCGCCTGTGGCTCAAGTGGCTAAGGCACCAGCCATGGACACCCAAGGTGGTAGGTTCAAATCCAGCCCGGGCCTGCCAAACAACGATGGCTGCAACCAAAACAAACAAACAAACAAACAAACAAATAGACAAGCAAATCAGCAAACACACTTGTAGTTTTAGCTACAGGAAAACAGAACGCAGGAAGACAGCTTTAGCCCAGGAGTGCCAGTGCATGCCAACCTGGACAAGAAAGTAAGGTGGTTTCAAAAACCTTAAATCTTGCCCTCCCACATAAACTTTTACATAGTTACAATGACCGTAAGTAAATGCTTTTCTCCCTTTCTCTAATTTCTACATATCATTTTAAAACCAACATCTTAAAATTTTCATGATTAAAGATATAAAATGTCAAACTTATATTACTAAACAATAAAATTTGTGACAAAATTTTCTCTATCCATTCTTTGCCAGTAGAATAGTTGCAAAACATGCAAGTAATTCTGCTCTCAAGTGACACTTCTATCTAACCTGCCTTAAACATTACACAATTTCAAGCATTTCCCATAAAGAATCTCAGGTTAAGGCTCAGCACCTGTGGCTCAAGTGGCTAAGGTGCCAGCCACATACACCTAAGGTGGTGGGTTCCAATCCACCCCGGGCCTGTCAAATAACAACGATGGCTGCAACCAAAAAACAGCCAGGTGTTGTGGCGGGCGCCTGTGGTCCCAGCTACTTGGGAGGCTGAGGCAGGAGACTCGCTTGAGCCCAGGAGTTGAAGGTTGCTGTGAGCTGTGATGCCATGGCACTCTACCCAGGGGGACAGCTTGAGGCTCTGTCTCAAAAAAAAAAAAGAATCTCATGTTAAATTTGGTTAAACAAACCAAAGGATAGGTTAATTTAATGTAATTATAAATGACCTGAGACTTTCTGGATGTTTACAGTGGGAAAGGTGAACTTTCTCCCTAGAAGCATGTCAGGCTGGGCTGAAGATGTGGTGCTCCCTGGCAGTGGACAGGGATGCTACCTCAGAGCTAGAGCCTCAGTGGGCACTGTGTGGTTCCTTGCACAGCTCACTGACAGAACCAGCACTCTCAGCGAAGGGCAGAAGCAGATGACTGCCAGTCTGGAAGCAGGGCTAGGGCCCGAGTGACGAGTCTCACTGGCTGTCTGAGGACTCAAACACAAGTAGGACGAAGGTGCATGCTTTTTCCTAGGAGCCCGCCCAGCCCGGCATACCATCTGCTTGTCGGAGAAGAGCGAGCGGTTGTGGATGAGTGCCATGCTGTGGGTGGTGTGACAGTGCCCACACACACTGGGCTCAGCAATGCGACCACGGTCAATCTCTACCCGGGTGGTGTGGGCACACACTTGGCACTGAAAGAAGGCCTCCTGCATCTCAGGGATCAGCTGGGACGTCCTGATCACCATGCCGCTTATGGTGATGAGCTGGTCGATGTCTATGTGAGGAGAGAGAGGTCAGCTCCCACAGCAGCCACTCCCATAACCCATTCTGGGCCTGTAGTCAAGCCAGCCCCCCAGTCTGAGGTACAGTCACTGGCAAGCGTTGTGGCTTCAGCACCAACAGCATGTCAGGTACCCTAGCATCTGGCCTAGTACGTCCTTCCTGCATCCAGCTTGCCTTCCTCTTAAGCCCATGGACCCCTTTCCCTTTGCTTCAGCAGGCTTCCATCCACTTCTGGGCATCAGAGTAGCTCAATGCTTTTGCATATCCTGTCCCAGCTCCCATCTTGCTCAGCCAGCCTCCTCTAACGCTGCTATCTCATGTGAAAAGCCAGATACCTTGAACTTAAGTGTGTATGACTTTGGAGATGCCCGCAGTCTCTTTATGCTTCATTTTGCCTCCACTGCAGAATGGGGAAAGGAACACACTTACCTAGTAATTGAGGACTTAGTGAGTCAGTGTATCTCAAGCCTCAAGAGACAGAACTGGAACAGAAAAAGCTCTGTGCACCTTGGGTGGTCTCACTATCCACGCAAGACACCCCTATGCAGCCTTGTTTTCACTCTTTCTCATGTTTCCTCTATGCTTAGATCTTTCCTGACCTAAATTTTCTCCTTTGCAGGTCATGATGCTCCTCAGCTAGTCTCCATGGCTGCTTCCAAATGAGTCACCCTGCAAAAGGCTCTTGCTGGCCCTGAAGCCCACCCCAGCCCACCAGCACCCACAGCTGATGCAAGGGGCCTTCAGAATTTGATCCCATCTTCCTCCCATTTATTTATGGAAGTTCCTTGCCTCCCTCCCTTCTAATCTTTCTGTTATTTTATTTTATTTTATTTTTTTGAGACAGAGCCTCAAGCTGTCACCCTTGGTAGAGTGAAAGGGCTTCACCGCTCACAGCAACCTCCAACTCCTGGGCTCAAGCGAGTCTCCTGCCTCCGCCTCCCAAGTAGCTGGGACCACAGGTACCTGCCACACCCCCTGGCTAGTTTTTCTATTTTTAGTAGAAATGGGGTCTTGCTCTTGCTTAGGCTCATCTGGAACTTCT